CTCTTGATAGTATTCGTAACAACATAAAAAACATACATGTTGATCTTAAAAAATATAAATGGCAGAAAACTAATTTTTAAATATAATTATATTATTATTATTCTGTATCCTAAAAGAAAATAAGCAAAACAAATTTAAAAGAGAGTGAGGAATTAATTGTTACTATGTGAGTACACGGGGTATCAGCTAGTCGCGCATAGCCCACTTCCACCGTTTTTTTCGCCTTTAAATCTTTAGGCCTTAGAAGCTATAGAAACGCATTGCCAGCGCAGCTACAGTAAGTCAGCAGAACAAATGCCTTTGGCTTGAAACAAATTTCAACAGATTTCCACTTTTCACATCGCCATTTTGTGCTCTCAACAAACACACACACACAGATACAAGCGTGCGCACAGTTTGTCAACATGAAAAGGTTAACAAGGTAAATAACGCAAAAAGTGACAGCATGAAAGGAGAATTCGCAAAAAGAATGGCGACCAAGGACACAAAAGGCGCACACAAACAATGTTGCACACAATCAACATAAGCAACGTCGCCAAAGGTGGCAACTCTGGTGGAGGCTGAATCTCAGCCAAAGTAAGCGCGTTTGTGTGAATAACAACATTTTAAACGTGTTTACTTTTTATTTTGTTGCCAGCGCCAACGCTTATGCAATTTATTTCTGCATGTAAGCCCCCCTCCGCCTTCCCCACTTCACGCCTTCACTTCACGTTTACAGGCCCAACAACATCTCGAACTCGAACTCGAACTCCAACTCCGACGCCATCTTCGTCAGTTTCACCTTGTCTCTTGCGCCATTACAAAGCATGCCCCGCGGCCGGGCCAGGTATAATCTTTTGCTTGTCTTTCACTTTAGGAACAGGAACAGCAGCCGGCCCTTTCCTCTGCTTGCGCCAGGCACCAAAATTTAGTTTACCCTTATTTAAAAGTATATGACAACTTTAACAATCAGGCAGGGATTAGCTGGAAAACTTATTAAATGTGAATGACATATAATAATATAATACTTAAAATATTATATATAAGTTATTCTTATTCTTCTTAACTTCTTGAACCCGTTCGGTGCACTCTTCGATAAGTTGCCGTTACCGTTGCTCGGTAGGGTATGCCAAATTCGTTCTCTTGACTTTGTTTTTTATTTCAGCCCAAAAAGGTGAAAAGGCACGTTAAAAAAGCCTTCGGGCAGCCCATGGCGGTCAATGCTTTGGCTTTAACATAAACTTTTGCATAGCTCTTTAGATAGATATTGCTTGATCAAGTTAAGAGCGCCCGACTAGCGGATACCCTGAAATTTTCCATGCATACAAGATGGCGCTTTTCACTTGCATTTTTGTATATGTTTGCATTGAAGGAAGTTGAAACAATTGCCAAAGGCAGCTCGGCGCGGGCTCAGGGCATCTCCCACTAGAGGACTCCTACTTGATTTTAGAGGCGGGTACAGGCAAAGGCAATGCCAACACAGAAGCTATATTCTGTTTAGTACAGGGTATAAACAGAAGATGAAACTAGCTGAAATACTGGCAACTGCGTGCGCTCGACTTTATAAGTGTGGCAGAAGCGGGCAGAAGCCGGGTAACATTAAGCCAAGAGTAGTTGGTAGTAGGCTACCTCACCCCCAACCGAGTGAGTGGCAGGCACGCGCAGACTGCTTGCTTATGCAGCACAAGCTGCCACGCGTGACACATTGCTCTGGAGGCTGCCGCACGTCGTCGTCCAGTTGCCGATGCCTCCGCTTGTCAATGCAGTCATCAATGTCGGCGTGTCGGCATCAGTGCCCGTAAGTATTTGATGCTTCTGCTACGTACGCACAACCAAACGACCCAGCATGTTGCATGCCACAGTGTTTCTGTGCCAATGACCAGCCGGAAGAAAAGCGTGGCAGATCCAACTCAAATATTAACGAGCAAATGCTGCGAAACGTGAGCAAAATTTTCGAAACACTGTGCGTTTTTGTCGATTTTAATATTACGAGATCTGGCATGAAAATAGTGAATATAGTTAATTTAAAAGAAAATCCATATTCGATTGAATTAAACCAAAATATTCAAATATTTAAGGAGGGGACATTCTTTGGTTCTCTTATTTACCATTTAATTTCATAGGTGTACTTCCGATTAGTTGTCAATTGTGCACGCTGGCGTATGCGTAATTTGGCTGATTATAATCATCTGAAATATATATTCATTTTGATTGGCCGACGTTGTTGCCACGTTTGATTTTGAACCTTTTGGCATCTGCAGCACGTTCTACGCCGTGTGACATCCGCAAAAATTAAAACCGAATAAAATAAAAGTTGCCACCGACCTGAAAAGAGTCACGTGCAAAAACTTTCTTAATTTAAAAGAAATTTTTAAACAAACTCAATTAAATATTGTCAGGCGAAACTAAAGATGTGTACGACCCGCCAGAAGGCAGTCAAGGGAATAAAATACATGTGGCTTCTATTTTTTATATTATTATTTTTTACCCTGAACCCATTGAAAATAGATAAAAAATAAGCAGAAGGAAGCATCTCAAAACACATAAAGTACATGCAAGCTTTGCCGATCTAGCTATTTCCATCTGTACGTCTGTCTGTTTGTCTCTCTGTCCGTCTGTCTATCTGTCTCTCTGTCTGTCTATCTGTCTGTCTGTCTGTATGAACGCAGCGATCTCTGAATCATGCGAAACTCAAAATTGACAAGAGCTAGATACACCAAACTTGATATGTAGTTACTCGTACAGATTATAAATATTTAATTTCCTGGAAACCACTCTCCATTAACTCTTCTCTTCTCTGACCATTCCTCACAAAAATGTTTTTTTATTTTGAAAGAAGAGCCTTGGGCCTGGGTATATAGACTTTTTGACGATTGAGCTATAAAGAGCGTACACTCATCCCAAATGATTATTTTGAAATTTTGTTTGCGAATACCATAGTAGATCAAGCGCTGTTTGAGGTTGTCCTCCTCCCAGATCCCTAATCCTAAAATTAATTAAATTAGGAACAATTTTCCAGTTCCGCTAGGAAAAGAAGATTAATTTTTAGCTGTCGTACGTGGTTTTCTGCTGCTGCAACATTTTTTCGTACTGATTGACTTTAAACGTCTCGCTCGTATTGTCGATCTCTCACAAGTTCTGAATTGAATGCATTGTGCAGCGATTTAGCGCTGTTTTTGTTTATTGGGCGTAATTCCGATTTTCCGGTGGATTTCCCAGAAATTTCCTTTTACGTAAACTGTGTACTAACAAATAGAAAACGTATTTATGTGGATAGTTTAACATACATTTTAATTGGGTTTCGGTGTCATTGTCTTTTAAAATTGCTGCACAGGCTTGATTTTATCATTATACAAGCAAGTGAAATAATATATACGCATGTTATGGTTCCGAAGCATTCTTTGGAAAGGCGTATTCATAGGAAGAATTAAATTTTCCGGCAGTATGCTCGTTTAACCATTTATGAAATATTATCTTATAAAGTAATTGTGGTATGGTTTCGTAGGTAAACAAATGGCTTACTGAGAATCGAGCCACGTCTAAGAAACGTGCAACATTCACACACTTACTGAGAGCTCAGAGGAGAGGGGCTAGTTTTATGGCTTTTGGCAAATTTCTCATATTCCTTTGCATGTGATTTCGTATAATATTATGATGTTCGAAAACGTTATTCCTGCGCTTTTCCATGTTGACACCTTCGTGTGGCTTGCGAAAGTTTTTGCCCCACTTACATAAGATAATGTGAATTCAAATATGTTAATCGAGTTGAGCTGTATCTAAGCGAGAACTTACAAATGCGGTATCACAGGTAATAAGGCATACACCTTTCTGGCAGAGTCCTTTTTGGCAATAGTCAACATGTTAATCTGGTATCTTCAATGTTCCACGCATATTATAGGAAGGCTCTTTGGCCCTGTAGATCACATATCCTTGTCGGGGATTGCCATATATGCATAGTTTAAGGAACTGCATCTAGGAGGATGCTTTCACTTACTGCATTGAGAAATACCATTCTCAAACCTTTTAAACTCAATATGCAATTTGATCTGTGTTCCATTTGCTTAAGAAATAAAGGGTCTCTAACTAACGTTGAATGGCAATGTTTCATAGCCTTATGTCATCCATACAATTGTACAATCATTTTTATACGCTCGGAACCGATTGTGAATGCGTAAAAGCGTTTTTACGGTATTGCGCAAATGTATGCCATCCGGATCGGTTAAGAAATATAAGAGTTGAGGAACGTGAGGCTTAATCGATTAGTGGGTAACGTAGAAGATGTGGGCCGAACTCAAGCCCCTCATGTGTGTATATGTAAATGTGAATGTGTATGTCTATATGAACTGATGTGTGTATGTATTAATGAACATAATTATTCATTGACAAATTTAATTAACTAAATATGTATGTCTGCAAAACATCAGTTGATGTAATCGATGCTTATTGCATAACAATACCAGATTTTCACGGAAAATAAGTGTATAATGGTATTGTGGAAGTGTATTTAACGGGCAGAAGGAAACGACACTCTGTTTGTCAGTCCATCCGTTTATCCGAACGCGCCGATGTCGGCAAATATGAGAGCTGGAGACTCATATGACACGCACAGATCAGGTTTGAGTGCAGATGTGTTTTGTAACGGAAGCTCGTGCCTAAGTTCAGGGTATCTCCTAGTCGGTCACTGCCGACTAGAGCACTCTTGCTTGTTTTTTTTAAGAATACCTCTTTTTGCAAGACAATTTTAATGCCACAAAATTTTAATTGAGTTAATCCTAAAAACCACATGCTGGCTAACGAGCCAGCTGCTAGCCGGGAATACCCAGCCATGGCTAATTTGCTGCTGGCCAGTCAACCAGGGCAGAGGGGCGGGCAGGGCAGGGCAGGGCCGGTTGGTGCTGCGTTTAGATGGTGTTGCAAGCGCAAATGCAGCCGCATCGTCACAGCTGCAGCAAATGATTATTACTGTTCGCCAGATTATCTAAGTTGGCTGTGCGGCATTTGATGAGGTACAAGTTGGAGCTGCGATAAAATTCAATGCCATAAATTGAGTCAAACGAACAACTTCGACATTCACATATCACAACATATCACATTCAAAATGAGTAAGTGGAGACACAGTGAATTGGAGGAGGATTTCTTGCGCAGGCCCTCAAAAGTGGATGAACTTTTCAAGTTCTTGGACGAAATATCAAGGTCGGGAAAGAGGGAGTGAGTTCTAGAGTCAAATAGATCCATAGTAATAAGTCTTTGTGGTTATTACAGCAAAGGCAAAGGCAATGATGATAAGGCCGCGGCTGTTATCATTCCGGACGTTACGGACACAAATTTTATTGTTATGCAGCGCGGCCAGTACCAGGATAGAAAGAGGACCAAGCGTAGCACCTTTAAATTTAATATGACAGCGAATCTCAATCAAATGACTTTTATGCGCCAGATCGATGTCAGCGAGGCGGAACAGACGTCCGCGCGCCAGACGAATATGGGACAGATCAAATACATTGAATATTTTCTAGAAAAAATGAGATCTGAGTTCTGATTGTTTAAATTTCATAAAGTTATATTGTCGAAAAAAATGTATAAATGGAATCTTTTGACCAAGAATTTTCTACAGCTTTTCGTATACTTTCAGTATTCGTTGTTGTTTACAATAATGGGATTAACAAACTTAACAGTACTTTTTAAGTTTTGTAATTATTCGATTTGGCTTTGCTTTATCTAAAGATCAGAAGACGGGCCATGTAGCTGGTTGACTGCTGTCGTAAAAACTCACTTATCAAGTGAGCCTGCGGCTTGTCAAGGAGTTGAAACTATTTCCAAAAAAAAGTGTTTCCATTCTGTATGAGATGGTTGTCTTTAATATGATACCCTCTACCCAATTACGTAAAAAAGATTCGCTATAAATAATAAAATTAATTACTAATTGTTTCAATTATCCGATCGGATGAAATGTCCTTGGCCTAAAAAGTGAAAAATTCTGATATTCTATATTTGAGATTCGATTCTTCCTATTAGTATATACCTCAATTCGATATTTTTCGATTTAATGAAAACGGGAGGAATTACCTTTTTAAACACATATTCATAATTTCTCTGGCTCTTATAATCTCAGAGATCCTGACTAATATATTAAGAATACTTTGTGGGGTCACTTACAACTGTTTGTTATACATAATTTACCAGGTTAAAAAGAAACTAATGAAAATAATAAAACGTAAGCTCGTTATGCAATATTTAACAGCTAGAGAAACATAATGTATGACAGTCAGCTGGCTCGAGCAGCTGTTGGCTGTATTGGCCAAGTTGGCTGTGAGGTAGTTAACAAGTCATGTGAACTTTCAGTATTAGAAACTGAATTAAACAAACAACACCAAAAACAACATCACACAAATACTTAAACACAAATACTTAAGCACAAACACTAAAACACAAATACTTAAACACGTAAATACAATGCGTGCCGCGAAACACCGAGAGTTCGAGGAGGACTTCTTACGTACAGCCTCAAAGGTGGACGATTTCATGAAGTTCTTAACCGAAATGGGCAAATCTAAAATGGAGTAAGTCCTAGAGCCTGTGACACATTTAAAGGGTACAGACTTTGATTCTTGATACCAAAGAAAAAAAAAACCTAGCGCCGGCAAGGACACGGATGCCAAGGTGGAAATTAACTATAGTGCGGCTGTCACAGATGACAATTTTATGGTATTGGCGCGTAGCTTGTACTTTGCAAGGAAAACGAAGATGTCGTCCAGAAAGGTAAATGTTAGATCAAATATGAATCAAATGAGTTTCATGCGCCAGATCGATGCCAGCCATGAAGAGCGGATTAAGGCACGTGAGGAGCGTATACGCGTTGCAAGCAATTATCGCAGGTAGCTTTAGATAATTCTCTCGAACTCCACGCATCCATTAAGACGGTATTAATTCGAACATAGGCTAGGCAATTTTGAGTATCGTAACAGAAACTTTGAGAAAGCGATTGAGCACTATACCAAGGGCCTGCAATATATACCCGATTCGCCAGTTCTCTATACAAATCGCAGCCTGTGCTACATCAAGTGAGTACAGCGACGAAGTATCCATTTATCCAACTAACTACAACTGTCAACAGGAAACGTGAGTTTAAGCGGGCCCTATTAGATCTTGACTTTGTCATCATGAACTTGGATGGACGCTGCCTGCGTGCCTGGCTCTATAGGGCCGGTACCCTAAAGCGCATGAACGATGAGGCTGGCTATCAGGAGTGCATTGATAGTGCTCGTCGACTCAATCATGGCGAGGAAGAATATATTGAGTATTTCATTAAACAAAGTCGTACGGATCTTTAATAGTAGTCAGTGAGGTTCAATTAAACTACATTTAATACATACTTTGCATACTTTAAATGGTTTCTTTTTTGATTTTCTCTTTCTGATAGTTGAGATGCAGTTAAATTGACCTCTTCATGGGGTTTAGTTAAAGTATTAATGAAAATGTGGCGACGCCTCATCCACAAGTTGACAGCAAGTATTTACCAGGGTGTTTAGAAAACTAGTTCCGCGTTTTTTTTACATTGAATTGCACAATCAAGCATTGATTCTTACACCTTGACCCCTTGAAAATGGCTAAAAAAAAGGTATACAGGCAGAAAGCGGTAAACTATATTAATTGATATTTGGAACATATATTCCCCTATAACATACGCAAAATGATATTTCGTCCCATCTCCAATAAATCGATAAAATCGAATTTGTGAGCTATGCTTTTTTAAGCATAACTTAAAAACTGTAAGAGTTTGATTCCAGAAGATTGGCATTCGCATAGACTGTAAATATTGCCCCTACACCTACAACCAAAAAAATAAAACAAAATATATTTAAGCCAGAATCTTGCGATTTGGAATAGGCACGCACATTTTGGTACCACACTTATGCTCAGAAAATTTCATAACGCTCAGAATAAATTTTCGATAGTGTGCATTAAGTGAGTATGTATGTCTAAAGAAAGTTTGAATTTTTGTAACGGCATTTCGGCGTGGGACACAGTGTATCTGCCAGTCGAGCACTCCACTCGAGTATGGTAGTAGAGTAGTCTTGTTAGTTTTGCATATTTTGTTAACCGAACTTTAAAGAATAAATATGTATTTAAATTCTTATGAATTTTCTGCCACATAGAAGTTAACAGTAAACGCTTTCAAAACTTACATAAACAACGCATACTGCAAAACAATTTAAAAGTCATAGAAAAAGTATAAAAATACTTGCACAAAAAAAATGTGCAATTTTTGCATAAATTCAATAAAAATTCCTAATGTCATGAGAATATTTGCCAATACAATATACACAGTACATACTCGCACTGGCCGATACAAGCAGCCCGCTTTGGTAACCCTGAAACCCAGAACTGCCGAATGCCTGCGGCCCCAACCCAACTGGCTCCCGTTCCCATCGACTTCAATTCCAGCCACGATAAGGGCCACTTATACGCTTCGATTGGAGCACGCTTCCCCACAAAAGACTGACGCTGCGGTTAGGTAAAGTGGGAAACTGGTGGGCTGGTGGTCTGGTGGCCTCTGTGGTGGTATGGCGGGGTGGCGGGGTGACAGCCACACAGTTTTCAATATGGCGCCAACAGAATTTGCATTTGCTGTGGCTAAGCCAGGCGGTATTGTACCATAATGAAATGCAGTTCAAATGCTTTGGGTATAAACTTTTGTCACAACTGGCAGCACAAGGCGTAGCAAGGCGTGCTTGGCGGCAGGGAGGGGGCTTGTTGATTTGTTGTCGTTGTTGCATTGTAAACTGTGGAAAACAAACGCAACGGAAGTGCCACAAAAAGGGTTTCACAGTTTGTCAATTGTATGCGGCCGCCGAGTCGACACCTAAAGACCGCAGCACCATCCCAGCCCGCACCCCGCACCCCGCACGGCATTCTCTTTGCCAAGCTGTGGCATTTCCCATGACACTACTGACACGCTGCCCTGGCTCTGGTCACACTGACTACTGCAGTCCGTTGGCTTTGCATCTAAGAAATGCAAAAATCCTTGTGGGCTAAACTCTAATCAACGGCAACGGCAACGGCAACTGCAACGTGGCTGTTGCCACGCCCATCGCCCACGCTTGTAATCAATGCTGTAAACACTTATTTTTGTGGTTGCAACGTTGCAACAACAACAACGTAACAACAACAACAATTGCCTCCGCCTGCCGGCATCCAATTTTGTGGCACAGTCAAAGTTTGTGGCACGCTCCAACATTGTCCTGGCCCTGGCCTATCTACTACTTGTGGTCCTGGTTGTCATGCCGCTGGCTGTTGTTGTCAGTACTTTGCGCTTTTTGCAAGCAAACAAGGCTCAGCGTTGGTATCAGGGTCGGTTTTTGGATTTTCGTGCTGCAATATTGCGACATTTTATAGGTGTGGCACCAGGCAAACCGACAACCTGCAGTTTTAAGGTAGTCCTGCGACTTGGCTTGCGGTTGTCCCAGTTACAGGCAATGATGCTGTTTACACAAATGCCGAATGCTTATAGAAGAATCAAAATCTTTATTAGCCACACTCTTCGCAGAGTCAGATACTTTTAATTGTAAGCCATACTCTTGTGAGCTTTAAGCTAAACGCCAAAAAGCTTTTAAGCTACTGATGTCAAAGTTGCTAAATATATCTTCCGCTAGAACAGATTGAGAATTTTAAGTGGAATTTGAAACTGAGTGTGGATCTTTAGTCTTAATGAAATTGAAATTGAAAGAGTAATGTAGTCTAAAGCAAAAAAGCTGTATTATAAATAAATTATGACCAATTTTTGTGCAAAAATTTTAAAGAAACTATTTGTTTACAGAGATACAATTTTACTATGCTTTAGTTAAAAAGCCCTACTATAACTAACACTTGTCCGGGGAACACAAGAACACCCTTAACAAAACATAATGCACAAAACTGCTTGGCAGTTTCCAATGTTGCTTACTCACGTGAAATATTAGTACAACGACCCTAGAGAAATACCCTGGCTTAACCCTAAGCTTTATGGCTTGAAGCCAATGTCAACAAACAGTTTCATAAATCAGACTGCGCTTGATCTCGGTTAACAGAAATTTCTTTCTGCTGCCAGCCTCAATTCTCAAGAGGATCACTATAAACCCATTTCAACATCAACACGCATTCAAACTATATTTAAGCATCTCAGTTGCTTTTGACTCTCATCCTCTTGCCCTGCCCATCTGGCAGACTGTCCAGCGCTGTGTTTAGTTTTCAGCTTGCGGCTCGTGGTTTCGGCATCTCGGCAGCTTCTTGGCCAAAAAGTAATTTGCCCTTTATCTGTATTTGCGGTTTAAACAGCCAAGCAAGAACCAAATCAACTGTTCGGTCGGTTGCCATGGGGAGTTGTGTTGGGTACAGGAAGTTCTCGGCTCGAGTCTGAGCATGTATGTGGTACATTGTCTTTGTTGTAATATGCCTGTTTCTGTTTGTTTAGCATCTTTTAATTCCCATACCCTGTGCACATAAACGGCTGACTAACGGGTCAGCATGTGCTTTTGACTTAAGTAAGCAAGAGAGACAACATTGTCGATAATATACCAAAGCATATGGAAGTATTATATAATATTTTATTACTAGGATGAATATGGAAAACCAAGTACTGAAACCGAAGCCAAAGGCAGGAAGCTGGTTCGAACCAGCGACAATATTTTCGTTGATTTATTATCGGTTAACTATAATGAATCGATTATATTATTCACGAGTTCCCTTTTATATATACATATAGTATATGTTTTTATTTTTTTTAAATATAATTTTCAGATTGTAATTCCTTTATCACACTTATATCGTACAGAGACTATCTAAATCTAAATCGAGAAACGCGTCCAACGTACCACTACACTCTCGCGTATCTTTGGCGGGCCGGTCGCATCGAAAATCGGTGCAAACTTTTCTGGAAACTTATTCTTCAGACAGCTGATCACCGTGCCAGTCAGATAGTAACGCGATAGCCAACGGCACTCACACGGCGGTATACACTCTCCGCAGTGCTTCTCAGTGGCCATCCAGGTGCTGTGTGTGACCTGCTTGCCCGGAGTCAGGCAGCTCAGACGCCAGGGCAACAATGTATCCCGCTCTGTCCACCAGCATTCGCAGGGCGGTAGACATGTATGACAATAGTTATCATCGAAGCCAGATTCCGATGTGGTCTGACTTGTACTCTCTGCTGGGGTCTCGGGGCACGAGTACAAATTATAACGCGGCACGGCTCCAACAAGCTCCGTGTACTTGCGTTCACGTTCGCGACGCAGCCACAAATCGAGCATATCCCAATGATCCAGGGAAGGAGAACGTTCCCGTATGAGTTGCATGCGTCTGTACAGATCCGAGCGACGAACTGCATCATAGTTGAGGCCCGTCTGCGTGTGCCACAGCAAATAGAGCTCGTTGGGTTTCTCATCCGGCAGCGAAATACTGTGCGAGAATTTCGTCAGCTCAAAGTGAAACAACATGCGAATGCCATAGGTAATGTGCTTAATGTGATCAAAATCCTTGATATTCATTGCCGACAACGCATCGGCGTCCAGTAACAACAACTTTCGACCCCAGATCATATTCTGACGAAAAGTGTTCTGTGGATTTTACAAATGACTATGATATAAATAACACAATACATAATTGAGGATTCCTCTGGAAGTGCTAGAAACTCACCATATACTGTGGATACCCATAGCGGCAAATCCATAGCCGTATATTCATGTCGGTCCATTCAAAGACCGAGGGCAGCGGCAGCTTATCGACTACATTAACACATAGCTCGACGAGGCTTACAGGCGAGGCTCGGAACTGGATGGGCCATTCGTCATGACCGTACTGGACTCGACATGTTACCAAAGTGTTATGTCGAAATTTGATTGGAGGAACAGGGCTGTGCCCGTCGGTGTCCTTCTTGACCCTGAACTTGGTGTCCGTTACGCCATATAGATAAGGCATCACCTACGCTTATTAGTTAGCACTAAGCTGACTGCAAGAAAGTACTAGAAAAAGCACTGTACGCTTTTAGTATGGGGTGTTTTTGTGTGTTTTTGTATAGACCTGACTTGTGGAGGGGTGCTTACTGACTGATCCATGTTCGACATACAAACACCTATGTACATATTTGTTGTTTTTGCATGCCTCAAAATAGTTGGAACAGCATTAAACTCCATTAAACCTCGTCGATATTGACATCAAATACGCTTGGCGCATTCACTAATAATTATTTTTCTAAAATATATATTTTTAAATTAAAAATTTTGCTTGTATCCATTTAGATTTATGCATAATTATCGATTGTTTGTTAAGTTTTCCATTAATTTGGTTATTAACAGATCCTCCTAAAGGATTAAGCAACATTAACTTTCGAGAGTCTTGATTGAAATTTAAACACAAATATGTTTGTTAATATTGTGTACTTTTTGATAAGCAAGTTCCAAACTTGAGTAATAAATACTCCTTAAAAATGCCGTGGCCGAAAGTAATTTATTTTTGACACATCATTGAAACAGACATCTGCGAAACTACCTAATAGTGTTTATATAGATGTTATTATTAATTATTATTATCATTATTGTTATTATTATTATTATTATTATTATTATTATAATTATCATTACTAATATTCTTATTATTATTTCTACTATTATTATTATTATTATTATAATCCTTATTATTATTATTATTATTTTTCTTAGTATCGTCATTATTATTACTATTATTATTATCATTATTTTTAGTATTATTATTATTATTAATATTAATATTATTATTATTATTATTATTTTTATTATTATTATTATTATTATTATTATTATTATTATTATTATTATTATTATTATTATTATTATTGTTATTATTATTATTACTATTATTACTAATATTATTATTATTATTATTATTATTATTATTATTATTATTATTATTATTATTATTATTATTATTATTATTATTATTATTATTATTATTATCATTATTCTTATTGCTATTAATTTTATTATTATTATTATTATATACGTTTCCCCATCCTACCACTATTTTTCTACCTTATCATCTACCTTCTTTTATATGTACTAAATTAAAAATCTATACTAATAATTTAAAACTATCGATAAAAGCTATCGATTCCTTTCGATAGTCTCAGAGCACTTTTAATGTGTTGGCTCTTTAGACCTAGGGCATCGGCCAGTCGAGCAGTTTCTTATTTATATTTGCATTAATTTTGTGTTGCGGAGCCACATCCGGGACTCATTTTGGTTTAGCCAAAATTGCACTTTGGCCGTCTGAACTTAAGGAACTTGAGATTCTTGGCCAAGTTGCCGTCTCGATGCGTGTTGTGTATTTTGTAGTTGGTTCGCTTGACATCCACCAGAAGTTGTACTTGCTGAGCGCCAAGTTTTTCATTAAACCAGCACGCCCCCGCACCTCGCCCCCTCGCCACCCCGCCAGTACCACCCTACCGCCCACCCGTCGGCAGCAGCACTTGACGCTGATGCTGTCATTTTGTGGCTGGCAGTTCATTTAAAGTTCTGGGAATCTCGTTTTAATTAGCATGCCAGTTTTCTTTAGCTATTTTCCACGTCTCCCGCCTGGGCTCCTTCGGCTTCCCCATCAAGTCGAATGACCAGAAATCTATTGACACTTTTGCGCTTTATTAAATGTTTATTTGCTTTGTTGATTTCGATTTTCTCATCGAGCGAGCAGCGAATGTGAAATGCAAACAACAACAACAACAACAACACGAGAACCCAAGCGAGGGGCGCATCATCAATATGTGTGGGCGGGGAATGGGCAGGGCTTTGCTAGTGTTTCATTGCGACTAGCTTAAGGCTAAGGATAACAAACAGATACACACACACACACACTTGAGAGAGGGCGAGCTGTGTATGAGCACGGCTGCTAGCAATGAACGGTAAATAAGGAAAATCTATATGGGAGAGAAAACGAAGTCTCACTCCCCACGCGTTAACATACACGCACAAACACACACATACACATACACATACACACACTCGCACGCACATTCGCATTATAAACAGCTGCAAGGGGAGGTGGGGAGTGACTGGACGGCACAAATAGAATCGCCGAAGACACAGTCGCGTCTTTCCCTGTGACTGTTACATTTACTGCTACTGCTACTGTTACTGTGACTGAATTAGCAATTGACTATATTGGCAGGGTGTGTTGGTGTCGGCCAACAATACATACAGCCATTGGGCCATACACTGAAAAAAAATAATAAAATTCATAAAATTTCAAGCATATTTTATTATTATATTTGATTTCAATATTGGTATTATATATAGTCATATTGTAAATATTATTCATACAAAATGTTTCGAATGATAGCCCTTTGATATTGTGCTCCGACCCAGCCGACTCAGGCAGAATATGGGTATAACTTACAAGCTGTCAAAATGTTCGCATCGAAAGGCATTTGGGGATCCATCAGCCTCGTTAATCTTAATCTTAATTTTAATCAATTTATCCGATCGAAATATAATATAGGGTATATTATATGTTTAATATGTTTATACGAAGTAAGCAAGTAAACAATGAGAAAAGTAAAGTAAACTTTTGCGAGCAGTTCACTCGAAAGTTTTTCTAGTGTGTGTGCTGCCGCAGCTCCCATGGAGCATACTATTCTCCATTTCCCATTTTCCTACACACACACACACACTCACACACTAAAACTCTGGGACCAAAAGAAATGTATTCACGTTGCTTTTTCATTATTCATGACAACTTGCTCTTGGCCGTCCTCGCTGCTAGATGTAACTGAGTCAAAGCAAACACTAGACACAAATACAGACAAAGGGAGAGCTAGGGAAAAACAAAATAGTGAAATAAAGGTGGGAGGGGGGCCGGGGAAATAACAAAGATGACAATAAAAAGCAGTAAAACAATTTTCCCTCCTACGGCCACGCGCAGAGAAAGTCAGAAAAATAGCGAACCCAAAGGTAACTAATATTTTAAGAAAACAAGACACGGCCAGCAGCGGGTGGTGGGTTTATCTTGGAATGGGGGCATCCCCCCCCCCCCCCACACACACACATACACATACACACACACATATGTGTGCGTGGCAAGAAGGCAACAGTTTTGTGTTGTGGGCCTGGTGCTGGCGGTAGGGTGTTTCAGCTTTTGTGCAAGTGGCCGTCGTCAAATTCAAGTGACATATTTAGACAGCTAAGCGACTCCCAAGTGTGGCAGCCACAGCACAAAGCAAAGGTGAAGTGGCATTGCCACAGCTCCAGCCCCAGCCGCAGCCGGCAGCAATTTTGCAGCAACTCAGTTGTTATTGTTGTAGCCCTTTTTTTTATTTTTTGGCCATGCAGTGAGGGTTTTTTGTAGCTGACAGCCACCACAAAAAATAAAAAAGAAAGCAGCGACCATCCCCACAAAAACCGACGACGCCGACGACGACAGTTGCTTTTAATAATAAAATCATTGAGCATCAAAGCATAAAAATCAGTCAAGTGCAACATAAGCTTAAAGAGCCAGTCGTACGGGTGGGTGGATTGGATGCTGCTGCCAGGGATCGAAGGTAGCTAAGGTAGCACTCTTCCCGCCTGCTCCGGCATAGATGTCTTCGATTCTGCTGGGGCATTCGCCTTTTGCTTTTTTTTTTGTTTATTATTGCCCCAGCAAGACGAAATGAATGTGATTTAATGTTATTTTTACAGCCAAATTAGTTGGCTTTTGATGTGCGTTTAACTTTTGTGGATGCCGCTTTAGCTTCGAGCCTGACAAAGGTAATGTTCAAGATGGAAGCTTCCAACTTTTGAATGCTCTTTGCCGTATCGAAATCTTATCTTGACGGAATTCTAGCTAAAGGACCCGCACACATAATTTTCAAGTTTTCAATATACTAAGTCAACTTAGAACGTATGACAAATATATATATATATATATATATATATTTTTTTATATCTGAAAAACAAACCGAAGGTTTCTGTTCTTAAAAAAAAAAACAGGATAAATGTATATCTCTATATTCAATCAGATAAAAAAAATTCTTTTTGTTTCGTCGACACAAGTCGTGAATTATTTAAAGTACATTCTGGTAGGATATGCAAACTGTTGGCAACAGTTTATTCGGCACGCATTTTTTGCGTAAGTTTTTTGCGGGCTGGCAAAAAGTGGGGTGGCAATGCGGTAGCTGAAGTCACAAAAGGTGGTGCATGCAACCATAAAGAGACACCGCAGCGCCAGCTGTGCCCTCTGCGTGCAGCCATAAAAACTCATAAAGTGGATTCAAGGAGCGCGCTATGAAGCGCACACATACATGTATGTGTATGTGTGCTGAATGTATCTTTAAGATACATTGCCAGTTACTTTAGCTTGCGGCAGAGCAGTCAGCTTATTGCCACACTCTTGGGATTGGCATCGGACGGCAAAAGTTAAGTCAAGTGCAATCACTTCAAGCTGCTGCATTCGTAATTGCATGAAGTACTCACAATTCATATGCCTAGCTCGTAATGTGGCAGATGTTGCCCTCTAGTCGGCGGCTTATATTGAAGTGTAGATACTTGACTATGATGCCACTTGTTGGGGCTGAGGGCCGAGCGAAGTGTCGGCACGTTCCAAATACAGTAGTTGGTTATACGCACTGCCCGTTTGATATATGAACTATGCGAAGATTTAATCTTTGCTCAATTACTTTTTACTTAGCAGTTGACTATAATTTTAATTTATTTTACAGGATATGCCGCCGTCAAGCATAGCCGGGTATTATTATGTTTGTCTAAGTCAAGTGCTGTCCAAAATACACAATTTTCATTTTCGAGCAGAAAATTCCCAAACGCGTTAGCTGAAAAATGTTCGAGTGTCTGGTTAAAACCGATTTGATTAGCATTATCAATTCAGTTGGTGATGTGGAAAGCTTTTTAAGCACTCGCATATCAAATAACACCAGTTCATGTAATTATTATTTAGCAATAAGTGGTTGACCAAAGAAACTCGAGTGTGCTAAAAGCTGAAAAGTAAATAAAATGAAAAGCTAGAAAATGAACTAATCAACAGTTCTGTTAAAGTGTTGTAGGATAGGGCCAATCTACTACATCAAAAAACACTAAGACAACAAATGAAAATAATGGACAGCTGTTCTTAGCATTCCCAAGCAGTTGTAAGCATCAATAATATGAATACTATGGAATGCTTTATGGCTGTAATTACTTTGCTTACATTTTCTTTAAATTCTTTTTAATAGCTATACGCAAATTGTTCACTGTCACAAGAATTTAAATAATGTGGTATTTAAGCTGTTTATTCATTACATAAATAACTTACATTTCTATGTTATCTTAAGTGCTCTTGTTTACAGCTGTTAGTAAAAGTTGACATGTTATTAACATTCACAATTGGTTTGATCTGGAAAAATCTGCACACGGAAATGGTCAGTTGATTCTATGGAATGTATGTATTTAATGTATGTATTGTACGTTATTCATAATTCCAGACAAAATTAAATTTCAATTCAATTTTTTTTGCCTTTCATTATCAACAGATACTTCCTTCACTGTTGCTTTAACAACTGAAGCCGAACTCATTCGTGAGTTGCCTCAAACGAATTGATTTATAATTTAAATTAAACGTTTCTCAGTCCACAACAATGAATAGAACAAATACACAGGCGCACGCAACAATACAATCCGCCCTCTGGCACTATCCGGCAGTAGCAAGCCATTTAGCAAACTTAACTAGGCAGCAGGACTCAACCCGTTAAGCAGTTTTGAAGATTGTCTGTTGTCCTTTGCCCCCAACCCTGCTCCGTACAGTACCCTAAGCAACCCACCCGCAGGAAAATCAAACAAACAGAAGAGACAGAGGACATTGGAAACGTGACATCTTAATGTCAGTCTGCTTAATAAAACGGGAATCCGACTCCTTGCCTTGGCATCCTTGTCCCGTGTCCCGCATTTAACTGGAGGCCAACACCGCCGACATCCTTTGTCCTGTGGCTCACGCGCATAGTTTTTCCCGGCTGCCTGTTGTGCGGCTCATTGACATCATTTGCTTTGTACTTGTGAGCTTGTTATTTTCTACAAATTGTTAATTATTTTCATTGCGCTTATTATAAAACTTTTTGAAATGGAACTTCCCCACCCACCCTACCACACCACACCCCACCCCACCCACCCCGTGCCGTGCATTACCAGTCGAAACTCTGCTCAGCTTTTCTCTTTGTGTCGCTTGTTTTCCTTACGGATTTTTGGCATTTAATTAAGCGCAATTAAATTGACATTTTAAACAATTTAAACAAGCAAATAGACGTCGCAATTGCCTACCCTTACTCCATGCCAGGGCACGCCCACCTCGTCCCCACTTCGAGTATTTTTGGCGCATATTGAAACGCTTAATGACCAGAGGCCAATTGGCATTGCCGCCTGTCGTAGACTTCTGAAAGCTTTGACCAAGAGCAAAACAACGAAAAAATCGATAAACGAGTGGACCAATTTAACAACCGCTCTCCCCCTCCCCTCGAATACAAGCCCTACCCCACCCGCAGCCCCGCAAATGCGTCTATTAATTATGTCTTTTGCCATTTTGTCGCATTTAAAGGCGACGCAATTAAGTTGCCAGTAGGCAGGGGCAGGAGAAAATATTGTTGTGGGTCGCAGCGGGGTGGGGTGTACCGTAATGTATACCCGGTCAGAGTCACATAATACGTATCAATGGACACGACGTGGACATGGACATGGACATGGACCTGCTTCTTGCCCGTCTCCCATGCCCACTTTGCTACGTGACCAGCACAGTAATTCATATGAAAATTTAATTTGTTAGGCCATACAACTAGGATAGGGGACGGTGAGAGGAGGAGGAGGGGGGGGGGGGTGCGGTGGGGTAGACTTAGTGGTTCGTGGATGGAGAAGTGCAAGCGGGGGAACGGTGGCTGGGCAATGTAACCAAATGGTTTTTACATTTCTAACCGCATATGAAAATAAATATTATTAAAAATAGCACAATAAATGCGCTCGACTACCAGATACCCATTGCTAAAGTATCTTCGATTTCATGTTTGAACCAGCACATTTGATCTACTTAGCACATATAAACTCTGGAATCAATGAGTGTAGTCATATGTAAATGCAAACCTGTAGATAGACTTGTATTATTATTGATTATCTTCTTAGTGTTGATTTAGAACTTATATAATTTTTAGCCCATTTTTGGGAAATTGCTCATTTCTCAGGCCACCCAGCTGCTTGCTGATATATAAGTATATTTATGAAACTGACTGACTGTCTGACCGACTAATTGACTGACTGAGTGGAAATCAGCGCACAGCCCAAATATTGTTGTTTTCCTATGTGATAATACGCTAAGACAGGTTTTTGAGAAATTCCATCCTCATATGTGGGAAAATCGAGGAAAACGATTGTACGAAACTTTTTTGTTTCCCTTGCGATCGTCCTCAAACTTAGTTCAAGGTTCAATCATACTTGATCGACCCCGCTGCAATGCAAAATGCGGGTCGAATGTTGCATGAAACCCTGCTTAAATCCACCTTTTTGCTCTTCATTTGCTAGACTTTAAACTAATTTTTAAATATCTTTGTAAAACAAGCTTAAATTTTTCACAAGCGAAAAAGGGGGTAAGTGATGTCTAGAAATGGAAACCAGAAAATACCAGAGACTAATACCATATTCGATAGGCTCGTATGCCCTCATAACTTAATGAAACCCATTTTACGCTTTGCTATAGGGTATAAAAACCTTTCATGCTTTCGTTTCGCATCATGAAATATTAAAAAGTTTGCACATTTGGCATAAACAGGCAAAATGCGGTTTGGCTTGTTTTTGCATTGTCAACACGTGGCTGAAAGCCGCAAAGTATGCAATGCAGTTTTCCGCAATTGCAATAATTTTTGTGATTTTGATTGCACGTACCGCAATTTGAATGATATTTGGTTTACTCGCGGTCGCCGCATTCATACACATGTTTTTGGCTGACATCGAGCATTTATTGATACATGTGTTATATTGTTATCCATTTCGCTTTTCATTGCCATAATGCATTAGTTTATATTGTATATAAATACGTATCTAACTCAATAAGTGTCTTTCTAATTAGCATGAAAATCCCTCTCAATTTCTGCTTGATTTCTACTGCTTGAAGATTATCTGATCACAAATACTTCTGCTCTAAGACGACTATATAATAATTCGTATAAATACTATTATATTGGTTTGAAGATGACTTCATTAACCCAGCTGCATTTGGAATAGAACAAGAGTAGGCCACAATGCATTCCTGACTATTGACAGGTTCGATGCATTAGCTCATTAGCTCAGCTATGCAGAAAATGTCCAGGGCGTAGAGCGCGAAGGGAAATGGGGATCAGGGAAACGGGGCTGGAGCTGAAGACAATTTAACTGAATAGCTTAGCAAATAAAGACCATTGAAATAATTACCAGGAAACCAGATTTGCATGGTCAGCGCCACCTGCCTGAGATGGTTTGGTGGCTTGGTGGCTTGGTGGTTTGGTGGTGCTTGGTTTAAATTTCATTAAATCTGTTCACTTCGTTTGCCAATGCAATCAACATAGCGAAGTGAAAATGGAAAATCAGAAACAAGGCCCGTCATTTGCAACGCCTCAAGTGCTTGAAATCTATTTAGATGCCGGTTCTGTTCTGATCTTCTAGGCTGTTGCCGGGACGCGGGGCAGTCGAGAGCGCTTAACCTTACGTAATTAACTTGCTTTGCCCACGTTTTCTATTTTCCCTTCTACAGGCACTCTATAAGAAAGGGTATATAGTGTTTGCCATGCAGTTTGACCTTTGGCCAATGAGAAATATATTTCTTTCTTAGCAAAAAGAGAAGTGCTTTATTTTAACAATCGTTAGTTTTTTTAATCTTTACCATAAAATGTCAAAAAATTTACTTCCTTTATTATTATTAGTCTTCTAAATTATATAATACTATTTTATATTAATAATTACAAATATTTTAAAAAGATTATTTCTATATTAAAATATTGTTGCTTGAAAAACTGTTATAATGATATTACCCCCGAGCAGGGCGTCCAATGAAAATTCTTATCTGTTCAGAGCATTTAAGGTTCGTTAGTTTCGCCTCTCAAGCTTCTTCTCTTTTTGCCCTCCCCCTTCCCTCCCGCACCCACTCTCTCTGTCTCTTGCGCTTACTTGCCATATAGCTCGTATTTTCTTTTGCTGTGTTTTTCTTAGTTTTATCCAATTTACGCGAGCATTTTAGTATAATTCCTTGCAGTTTTTTCCTCAGTTTTACTGATTTTGTGCTTTTCTGCTTTTCAAATACTCAGGAGGTGATTCGAGCGTTGAGTTTGCGTTGCGCTTTCGCTTTTCTCTAATTTCTTTGCGCTATTTTTCACAATTTTTTTGTCCATTTTTTTGGTTTTTGTTTTTTTGTTGCGCACGCTGTTCGGCGTTCTAAGTGAAAAAGTAAACAGAAATCCATTAGCTTGGCAATCATTGACGGCGCCGCCAGTGGCACGCCTCCCCCTAAAGCAGGCCACCGTCCCAGCAAGCGCTTTGTGTGTGAATGTGTGTGTGATTGTGTGTGGCTGGCTGCAAATGAGTGGCAGAGGTCAGTGTGGCTTTTATAAATTGCTGCCATCAGCGCATTTGCTCCACTTTTTCACTTTTATGTCGGTTTCCGGGCTTCCGTTTTGGACAGAAAGCGACAATATTTTAGATATTTATAGGAGATATATTTTTGGGATTCAATAGCTGAATCCAGGACTAAGCCAGAACGAAAAGGAAAGCACATTTAAATAAATAATATCTAGAGACCTAGTGCTATAATTCAATATGTTCAACTACTCGATATCAATCTTATACCCCAGATCTATGGAGGCACGTATGTGCTCCTTCAGATTGATGTGGCCATTGCGCAGGGATTCCTGCGTGAGGAACTCCCTGACCTTGGCCTCATTCTCGCAGAAGACCAAATTGTCGGTCAGATCGATGAGATGCTGCAAATGCGCTGGAAATCTGTAGAGAACTAAAAGAATCGAACTGGAGGCATCCGATTGCCGGCACAAATCACTCGACAGCTTCGATATACCCTGTGCCGCTGTGTAGTCCAGTCCCGTTATCTTGTGGCCATCTATGACCACCGTGATCTTGAAGTCGGCTTGGGTGCAGGCTTTCAGCACAAGACTCCTCAGATGATTGATGGCCGGAAAGTAGATGCCGTTGCCGGGCACTACCGAAATATACTGCATCCCATCCAGCTCCTCTATCTTCACCAGTATCTCCGGCCGTGCCCACAGAAACAGCAGATGGAGCGCCGTCACCACGATGCTCACAAGCAGACCCACCTCCACGCCAAAGAGCACGCACACACAAAAGCACAGCAGCCAAATGCCGAGGTCGCGCTTCGACTCGCGCCATAGGCGCAGCGGAAGTCTGAAGTCCAACAGCGTGAAGATCGAGCAAATCAAAATGGCCGCCAGCGTCGCTTCCGGTATGTAGTTGAAGTACGGACTCAGATAGCCCAGTGCCAGCAGCACAATGATGCCTGAAAGTGAACTCGATATAGATTTCGGAGTCAGCGTATTACTTGCAGCTGCACCTACCCAGATACAAGTTGGCCATGGGCGTCTTCAGGCCACAAGCCGTGCTGATCGCATAGCACGTAAAGGCGCCCGACGAGGGCATGGCCTGCACACAGGACCCGAACATGTTGCACAGTCCGACGGTGAGCAGCTCATGATTCGTATCCACCAGACCCTTGGGTGCTGTACAAAATGCACCAGTTAGTGAATTTAATCTAAACAAGTAAGAGGCTCTAGTCGGGAGTTTTCGACTAGGGGATACTCTGCACCCTCTTCATTTGCTTTAGCAATAATAAAAAAAAATTTAAAAAAAACGTTGGCTCAATAAGACTTGAACCCGTAACATACCTTACTATTTGCCATTGCCTCTACTCAATAGGCACACCGAACATTAATTTTCTAAAGAAAAAAAAACAATTTAAATAGCAGCATATAACAACACCCCACAGAATACAATTCAATCGCAATTGCAATGCTGTTGATACAATTCAATAAAGAAGTGCATGCGTAAATTCTTGCAATTTGCGCTAGCTGCTGCAAGCACGAGGCAAGCCAAAACACATTTTCGTTAATAACTTCTATGTTTCTTAACCGATCTTGCTGAAATTTTCAACAGTACATCTTATTATGCTATAGAATTTGTATATTCTCAAAAAGTCAATTGCATTAAAATTGTGCCTTAAATTTATAGCTATGGGGTGGTAAGCGGGAAGGTGGCGATAACTATAATACTCTATATATATATATATACTATTCAAGAAGGTACATCTCAAGTTTGGTGACTCTAGCTCTTATAACTTACGAGATTTGCTCAAAAACTTGGAAACGGGGCGAGCTATCGGCTATCGGAAACAAACTCGTATTGCGTGGGCACTAGGAGGACCTATGTTCTGAGATCCATGCGCTCATACATACGGACGGACGGACAGACAGACGGACATGGCTAGATCGACTCGGCTATTGATGCTGGTCAAGAATATATATACTTTACGGGGTCGGAGATGCTTCCTTCTGGCTGTTACATACATTTGCACAAATACATTATACCCTTTTTACCCGTTTTTTATGGGTTTAGGGTATAAAAAGCCAGAGATAAAGAAAACTAGTTTCTAGTTACATCCAATTTGGTACTCACTCAGTTTTCCAATAGATATATTTGTGAGTATGCCCACAATGGGGATGACAACGATGCCCACGCTGAGTTCACTGAGGACCTGCCAGAAGCTGTAGCTTCCTTCCGGCGTAACAATAGTCAAGCTGGGCACCGCAAAGTCGGGTAAACTGGAGAGCGCATTCTGGCTGAGGGCATAGGGCAACTTCTCACTGTAGCCCAGCCAAATGTAGGAGACAATGCCACCGATGAGCACAATAAGCGTATTCCTCGAAGTGGATAAATAGCGACAACAGATCCGCAAAGCTTTGCCACGTTTCTCACTGCGTGCAACGCGCTCAAGCAGCTAAGGGGACAGATATACATATTTATTCTCTAGATATGCATGCACTCACCTCTAGCAGCAGCAGAAAAATAATGGCACACGAGCCCATGATCAGATCGCCCATGTTGGCCTCACGGATGCGAGAGCTCAGGGTGCTCACCGAGCTGATGAGGCCCGGCACTAAGTACTTGATGCCCAGCAGCACCTTGATCTGGGATTCAATAACAAGTACCGCTGTGGCCGAGGAGAAGGCTTTGATCACCGGCATAGATATAAACTCAAAGACGAAGCCTGCAATCAAAATTATTGGGTGAATAGTTTGGCTGGAGAAGCCGGAATTAGTTGCTCGGAGGGGACCGACAGAGACCTGTTAATTAAGTGCTAATTAAGTCGATTATCATCATAATTACTAAATTAACAACCCTGCTATAATTGAAACAGATCTTTCGATTCGTAGTGCCGGCACTAATTAACCCACCTGCTAATTGTTGATCAATCAATGAACATTTGACAATGTCTCTCAATCCGACTGCATGCCCATTTATTTGCATGCCTCAAATTGGATATGGCACGAGAACCAAAGTGGCTCGTTTCTCTAATCAGCATAGCACACCCAAGTTCAGGGTGAGTGAAGCCAATGAAGATGTTATATATAATTGACACGAGCTTGTGAGAGGCCAAACACATATTGCACTTACTTGTGCTTAGTATTTATATATCTAGCTAGTGATATAGATTATACAGAAATCTGAGCAAGAGCTCTACTCGCTTTATTCTCCTCCAGTTATGTGTGTCACTCGAACAAAAAACCAGTTTATTAAACATTTTATTTAAATCAATTGACAATGACAGTAAGACGCCCAAACTGTTACCGGATACCAGTAGAGAGTCTGAGAAACGTGTCATTTCTCACGGTATGCCTTCTAAGGTATACATCAAGATACAGATTCAATTATATAAAGCCCGAAAACTGAGCTTTAAGCCGTGGAAGAAAATTTAATTCCCTTCGGATAGATTTGCCGATGAGTATGAGACACGTTTTAAAGAATTATTCCCAACGATATTTGGGAATATGTTTGATGCCGTTTTTGGTGGTGAACAGAAAGTTTTAACAACTGATTTTCACAATTGTTCAACATTTACCAAGTCCCTGTTTTGGTTTAAGTGCGACACATATTGTCAAAGAAAGCCTCACTGCAGCAGGTAAAACTGCTCAAGCTCTTACCTGCAGTTCGGCTGAGGTGTAGGTGCAGGTGATTGGCTCACCATGCATCACGTTTATTAACTATTTGCTTTGTAGCCATTGGTACTCACCCATGCGCAGAGAGCCCATAATGATCTGGACAATGCCACTCAAGAAGGTGAGCAGAAATGCAAACTCTACGGGCCGTCCCACGGTGAATTGTACGCTGACCAGTGCCACAAGACTGGTGGGACCAATGATGACCTTGTCAATGGAGCCGAATATCAAATAGATGAGGGGCCCTATGAAAGCCGAGCACAGGCCATAGCGAGCGGGCAGACCCGCAAGCAGGGCGCAGGCAATGCTCTCGGGTATGATGGTGAGGCCCAGCGTGATGCCAGCTATGAAATCATCAATGCCCCATTCCATATTGTAGGCGGGCAGCCATTTAAGCACGGGCACATGACGCAATAGAGCGCGCCTCCATTTGCTGGATGGTGGCGGTGCCTTCTTGGACACCTTGTCATCGCTGGCGGCACCTGATCCATCTTTTGTATCGCGGTGCCCGGCCAGAAGACGCACCTTAGTCGCCCGCTCCGTCAGCTCAGGGTCCACTTCCAGTTGCGGGTACATGACTAGTCTATGTGACTATGAGTCGAGGTCTGTTTCCAGTGAGTCGCGATTTGATAATGAAGCCCAAAACAGCGCGCCAGTCACTGATGAGCGCTTATAACATAGTCGCAGATAGCACCTCGCAGATCGCAGATGCCAGTTCGGGGATCAACATCACAATTTGAGTCGGCGTTGTTTGCCTTAAGTATCAGAGCGTCTCTCATAGCTCAATTGTGAGCTGTGTATTCAGCAAATTCAGATGCAGATACAGATACAGATATAAATATAGACATAGGCATAAATACATATGCGGCTGACAAATAGAGATAGTCAAAGTCAGTTACAAATACAGATATGTATATTTTTATACAAATAGATGCGGATACGGTTCAACAAAAAAAAATATAGATTTAGATACAGATACTTTCGCGGATACTCTTACCGATATAGCTGCAAATACATAAATAGATACAGATACATATATGGCAAGATTATATCAACCATATCTCTCAACATCTTTGACGGCCCTCGCACCTGTTGCGCTCTTTGTAAGTTGATCGCATAATTTCATAATACAGATGCTAAATGCTGTGTGAACCCGTGGCTAGTCGTGCCAGGGGGCTTTGCTCCAAACTGTTTGATTCAATGTTGGATCCAAGCTGACACTTTGGTACCAGATTGCGCTCTATGGGACATCGTTTTGGAGCCTCTGTTCGAGTCTCCAAAATAAATAGTCGTTTTCTCAATTATCGAATAACTATCAAAATAAGCATGTGCCGTTTGGGATTCATGAATCAGTAACTTGAGTCTATAAGCAAAGGCATTTTATATCTGCAGTTTATTCTAATTCTTAAATAAATAACTAGAATTTTGCTTCAGTAGCAAGCTCTTTAATAAATTGCCCGATATCAAGCATACTATTTGTCATTCACTTAAATGAAACTTTTTATTGTGTTTTGTTTTTAAAATTTTGTTATTATTTGTGAATTATTTAGGCAGCCTCATGAAAAGCGCATTTCCCTGCCAGCCTACAATTATTTTGAAGCAATTGTTGGGACAACTTTTGGACTAACTTTTCTACACATGTGTTGGCAAAAACATGACTTCAATCTAATTGCTGTTACACATGGCGTATGATTAATATTTATATTGCGTGCTTTTTCATTTAATGTTAACGTTCTTCCTGCGTGTCTATATTTTCTGTTATGCAAATGTGCTTTTATTTTATTATTTTTTTTTTTTTTTCGTGCCCAAAAAGTTTGACTGCAAGTGACGGCTGCTGCTTGGTGCCGAGTTTGCTTGCCAACAAAAAAATTAAAAATTAACAACAAGAAAAAAAACAGAAAACAAATATTATATAAATGGGACATGGCAAATTTCCGGCATGTGGAAGCCAAATAAATTTGTTGTGTTAATTTTAATGCAAATTAAAGTTACAAAGTTTTGATTGACTTGAACATATTTTTGTTATATTTGCTGTGGGTTTTTTATTTTTGTAATTTGTATGTTAAGTGTAAAGTTTGGCACTGCCGACAGCTCGGAGAAGTTAAATATTAATTTAAATGCTACAAGGTTGCATGAAGCATGAATCAATTTGCAAAGGGAAGAGTCAATTGAAAGTGAAAATAAATTAAATTTGAAATAAATTTCCATATGCCAAGCATGACAAATACCTAGGTATCAAAGAGCTTTTCTGTTGCTTTCTATGGCTGATTATTGAGTTCAAGGATAATATAACCAATTGCTCATTTAATATAATTAATCTATATATAAATGGCTGGTAGAGTTCTTTTAAGAAAGATGAGCATATGATTCTTGTTCAAAATCCACCGTGTGCAGAAATATACATGGGTATTTTCTAAATACTTTCCGTTTTCAATAGATGCACATTTTCTTTTAGTAGCCCGTACAACGAGCCTTCATAATGCAGATTTGCAAATTATAATTATCCTATATTACTTATTTTTTAATTTATGTCAGAGCTAACCTCACATTGTTCGGAATGGAATATATATTTACCGTGCACTGAAACGCGTTTAAGTATAAATATAACTCTAATTCTATTTACACAAATACTACACCGTGCTAAGCTGTTCAATTGCAATATAAAATCAAATTTGTCGCTTTTGTGTTGCGGTGTAAAATATTTGTCAGCCCCGTTCCTTTACCAAATCCCTAAAAATCTCTGCCTTAATTACAAAATGCACGCTTGGGATTTTGAAAAAAGATTTATTGTATTTCATTTGCATTTGCAGTACGTGTCATGTCATTTATAAATTAGTTAATTTTCAATCAATACCAATCCATCCGTAATATTTCAATTGCTTAAAAAAAAAAGTGCAAGCTATTTCCACTGAACGCGTTGCATAGCAGCAACAGTAGCAGCAACAATGCAAATGCCGACTATAAAGTTATGGATTTGCTGATGGGCAAATGCAAATGTAAATGTAAAATGATACGCAAATTGTATTTCGCGCAAGTTGTTGCGAGTTTGCACAAAATCAATTAAATCGAAATGCAAATCACCACAAATTAGCTCCAAGCGTTCCAGTTGCACAAAATGCGGCTGTAACAATTATAATTTTGAGATTTGGCGTACTCCCAGGCGTATGCGTAACGTGTATTATTTTCTATATATATACATATATATATATATATATATGTTTGTAAAGGCTTATACAGCATTCGCTTGTTCGAGGCTCTATTTATCATGGAGGATTTCTTGATACGAATACATATACTTATATATATACATTCCTCTATATGTCAATTGATTGTAGTTACTTTTTTGGCATAAATACTAACAATAAGTTGTCCTGCTAAATGCGACCTTATCAAAAACTTTGAGAACTAAACTTTAGAAGCTTAGTATGTGGCTTCTAACAATTTTAAATGCATGACATATAACATATAACTGTATATATGCGTATACTCTCCCATTTCGTATAGGGTATCTCATAGTCGTTTGTTTGTATGCTAGCATCCATACTTGTTAAATTGTGACCATATTATATTATAGACAAGCTTGTAAGATCAAAATCCAATTTAGTGTCAGTTCTTTAAATGCAATTTTCAAAATTGCTTTGCAAATACAGAACTGCAACATTTTCGCACGTACTTTTCACACTGAGCAACAGCAGCTGGGCTTAAGGAAAACTTTACAAAATGATGCACTTAAAGTTATTATTTCAGCCGATTATTGCAACTGCCACAACGCACGATTGCACATTTAACGATGTCTTTATGTGTGTGCCACAGCCATATTTAAATGCAATTTTAAGTGCTCGACATCAGCAACAGCCCACGCCGCGACCAAACAGCACTGCTCGAGACAAGGAGAAAAGGTGAGAGTGAGAGAGAGAGAGTGAGAGGGGGAGAGCGAGAGGGGGAGGTAGACTTGATGTTCTAGCTGATTACTATTTCCAGGCACACTTCGTTGTGGCATTATTATAATGACTGTTGCAGCAAAATTCACAACGCACCTGACTCGCATAACACTTTTAAGAGGAAGCTGCACGCTTTGAGCGAATGTCCTGCCAGCTGCTGACATTAGTCCATTAGTCCACAAACAAACAAACAGACGAACAGACGAACGGACGAACAGACGGAAAGTAGACAGAGCTTCGGAATTGGATAGTCTACAGTCCACGGTTGAGCAGTTAGCCTGACCTCAGACTATGCCAGACAAAATATATTTAAATGTCAAAATATTTTCGCCTCTACTAATTTCATCAAAAGTTTCTACTTATATGCCCTTTCCGTGAGTCCATCTGTTTAGCAGTTTGCTGAAGTTAAAAATTCGTGTAACAAAAGTAAATTGCTTTTAATAGACTTTTATAACGATAATATTCCTTTATTTTAAAGCGGATAAAGGAAATTACAAATATATAATAAACATCTCTCCAAAATATTATTTATTGCTATTTACAAAAAAAAAAACAAGGTAAAAAAAAAGCTGAAACTTTTATTTGGACTGAGAGTTATTATGTTTGTTTTAGGAACGTTTCTGTCTGCTGAAAGCATACTTGGAAATTGAAAAATCGTATATTAAGCATATTCGAAGACACATAACATTTCAGACTTCAGATCAGATCAAGCTTCTCGTTTTTAGGATTATAAATCTTAGTTTTTAATCAAGTTTAATATTATCTTTCTGTGTATAATAATGTTAAACTTTGGCCACGAGCACTTCAATCTCAAAAATATCGAAACCCCTTATTTAACAGTTTCATCGTGGCTGCTTAAGTAATTTTTTAAGTATTTTTTTAAGTGTAACATAAGTATTTAGGCACTTTATAGACTCTCGATCTCTCTCTCTCTCTCTCGCTCTGCCTTTGTGTTCAGGTGTTTGCTTTCCGCTTGAAAGATAATACTAATTAAAAATCTTCTTCAGTTGGTTTAATTAATACCTGAACTGTTGTCATTTCATTTTGTTGCTGATATTTTTTTTGTTTTGTTTGAAGATCGCCTGAGATTAGCGTGCACGCGTCAGCTGTCAGCAGGTGAGCAGGTGATTCAGCACCTCAATAAATGCTCAGATGCGTCATGCATTGTGGGTTTATCTCAAGCTCTTATGAGGCTGATAAGCAATCCAAGTCAGTTTCATAAAAGGGATTCAAATGAAATAGTGTGGTTGAAATGCAAAAAGTTAAAATAAAATGGTTTATAGAGCTGATTCTAAGAATTTAATTATAAAACTGCAATGATAAGAATTTTCTTTTATTAAGTACGGGCGACCGGACTAGCAGTAAATGTTGACAAATGCAAAGCAAACTTAAGTAACAACTAAATGTAGTATCACGTGCTTTTACAGTCGCTGAGTTCAGATAAATTATATCTTAAAGACTCAAAACAGCAAACACACATCAAAAAGTCAACTTCCATATAAAGACTCAACATCTATTATAGAAGCAATAAGGAAGTGTGTGTTTACATTAACGAAGCAGTATGGCTTATTTGTATGGCATAGCGGATACCAAGCTTAAGACTGTGAAGGAGAGGAAAAGGGTCAAAAAACAATGCACGGTACCACCAGTTAAGTATCGAACCGTTGCTCCATACGAACGCCACCAGAAATACGATCGTGATATATGCCCCATCCAGTTCCGAGTCACTCCCGCGTCCCTCGTCGAGCTATGTGTTAATGTAGTCGATAAGCTGCCGTTGCCATCGATCTACGAGTGGAACGATAAGAATATACGACTATGGATTTGCCGCCTGGGCTATCCACAGTATATGGTGAGTATCTAGAGTTGGTTTTGAATGTAATAAAGGGTTCTTTACGCATAAAGAATTTAAGATCCAATTCTATTCCTCAACACACAGCGCACATTTCGTGTGAATTTGATATGGGGTCGAAAGTTGTTGTTACTGGACGCCGATGCGTTGTCGTCAATGAATATCAAGGATTTTGATCACATTAAGCACATTACCTATGACATTCGCATGTTGTTTCACTTTGAGCTGACGAAATTCTCGCACAGTATTTCGCTGCCGGATGAGAAACCCAACGAGCTCTATTTGCTGTGGCACACGCAGACGGGCCTCAACTATGATGCAGTTCGTCGCTCGGATCTGTACAGACGCATGCAACTCATACGGGAACGTTCTCCTTCCCTGGATCATTGGGATATGCTCGATTTGTGGCTGCGTCGCGAACGTGAACGCAAGTACACGGAGCTTGTTGGAGCCGTGCCGCGTTATAATTTGTACTCGTGCCCCAAGCCTCCAGTCAAGCGTTTCAATCAGGTCACATCGCGAACTAGGTGGGATGTTGTTCATCAAACTGACTGCATGCCGCCCTGCGATTGCTTCTGGACAGAGCGGGACACAGCTCTGCCCTGGCGTCTACATTGCCTGGGTACGGCCAAGCCGACCGGCAAAATCACGAAGAGCAGGTGGTTGGCACATGAGACCAAGTGTCCCAGTTGTGTTCCGCCCTGCGAATGCAAATGGCTATCCCGTCATTATTTGACCGGTACGGTAATAACCTGCCTGAAGAAGCACTTTCCCGATAAGTTTGCCCCCACTTTTGACTCTCGCCAAAACGTAAAGATACGCCCCAGTGTGATTGAATATTGGACTCGCTTCTCTATGTAGATTGTTGTACCTTACCCCACCCATATATATGCATATGGGTGTGCCCATTCTTGTTGATTTGCCTTGCTCAATATTGGGGGGGAAATTTTCTAAAAAATATAAATACATCTACATATATTTTAAATTTATATGACTTTCTTTACTACATCAATTGAAGATTCGAATTGCTTGCGATATATTTAAAGATAAGATAAAATACTTTTATGTTCTCTATAGGATCTTTAGATCTAGACTTGTCTCCGCCCATTAAAGACAGGTTATTTTTTGGTGCCAAATGCGAAATTAAAATTATTTGCAACAGCAGCGATTATAATTAAAATATTATCACCGCTTCGCACGGCGAACACACCTGGCGAGATCATAAAAATACATTAAAAAAATAAATGAAATTTGAAATAAAACGAAATTTTATTTTCATTTTTTTTTGCTTTTTTTTTGTATTATTATTGACGTGTTTGGCAATTGCCCATATAATAAAAGCAAAGTAAATATTACGTGCATGCCGCGTGTAGGCAAACAAAATATTATGGTGCACGTACACAAAATGCCACGCCCAGCACGCCTATGCACAAACACACAAACACATACACGCACACACACGTACACACGCAGAGATCCACTCAAAGGCGACGCCTTTGATTTTTAGTTAAGGCCACGAAACGGCGACGATTTTGCCAATTTTGACAGACGCCGCATTATTTCCGCCAACTGCCACGCCCACCTTGTGTGTGTGCGCCAAATATTGAAAATTGTACCTTCTCTTCCTGTGTGTGTGTGTGTGTGTGTGTGTGTATGTACATGTGTGTGTTTTATTCGTGCTGCTGCTGGCAAACGTGCCGTGGATTTGTAATGAAACGTGCAGCGACGAGATGAAAATACTCATACGCCGCGTGAGCCGAAAATTTTTACGAGAGTTGTTAGGCGTAATTTTAATGGCTCAAACATGCGGCCCTCTTAGTCAGCCATCCACAAAAAAGTTGGCAAGGATACCAAAGTGTTTTAGGTAGCATTACACACACCCTCGCGCGCACACATACACCTGGAGTCGAATGCTCTACCGGAAATTTAATTGTGTGCGTGCTGGCACAGTCAAATTTGGCTCCGTGTGCTTGTAAACAGGTGTAAAAATAAAAACTAAGCCACTCGCACCCATCATTGTGTTTGCATTTGCGTTTATTTTTATGATCATGTCGCTCGTTAGAAATAATGCCATGCCGCAGCCACCACATGACGTCTTCCTGAGAGTGAGAACGAGAGAGAAAAAGAGAGGGAGAGAGAGAGAGAGAGAGATAGAGATAGGCTTTCTATTGGATTTAAGGCACTTTGCGCCAGGCACTTGCACCTCCCTTTCGCCCCTTCTGCCGCACTTTCTATGCCATCCTCTTCTATCTTCAATTGTAATTGGCAATTTAAATGGGTTTCACTTTGGGCTTAGCTTTTCTCACTCACACCTAAATTTGGGTTGGGTTTGAACTTAATTAATTGTTTTAATTGTTGTGAGCGTAGTGTGCGTGTGTGTGTGTTTGTGTGCGTTTAAACAGTTTGACACGTCGGCTTTAAAGTTTTGCGGTTAATTGTAATCATAATTAAATGCATGTATAGAAATTTTTAAATTTATAAGTCGAAGCTGCCTTCATAGCTAGGCGATTACTCGCCTCCCTTTACAAAGTTCTCCTTATATACCCATTGTCAGATAACTTAGACCTTTTTTTTTAAAGCAAGCTACCAAACTTTTACTCATTTTTCAATAGTTTTCATGCTTCCTTGACTGTATCTAAAAAATGTTATGAAATTTCATCATTGATTTGGGTATTCAAAAAAAAAAACCACACAAATTAAGCATTTCCTTAAAAACAAGGCTGAAATTCCAATTTATTTTATTTAATTTAAACCTTAAACGAAATGAATTAATCAAAGCAGAACGTCGGGCCTTGCAACCCCGCCTAAATATTAAATCATGCATATTTCATTTATTTAACAGCTCGTATAGTAGCCACTAGTTCCTTTCTGATGCCAATTATGCTTGCGACTAATCATCACAGATCTACGTAGCTCATTGCCGATGACCGCAACAAGGTACGTAGCCGGCTAAGCTTCTCTGATTCCGGACAAACAAAGATTCCTCTCCAATCAACGCTAATAGCAATCGTGCCCATATCTACAATATACTCAAAGTGCTTAGAAAACCAAAAGCCAAAATGCTTAAGGTACAAACACACACACTCACACACACTCACACACACTAGGGCGGATAGACACACAGTCATGCTCTGAGTTGGGTTTTACGCTTGTGCGGATGTGCACATACATCGACACACTCACACAGCCACACACACTCACAGACAAAACTATTAATTAATTTCCCAGGCGTAGGCACTGCAGGCCATAGTCATTGGGCACATGGGCATGGACATGACTACCGCTTGCCGTTGACATTTGAGTCAAAGGCAAAACCAATACTCAACCAATTGCAGGAGATCTGTGTGTCAACGTAGATGGTGTGAGGATTTCACGATGACACCAGCTGAAAGAGGCACTTCGAGTTCCGTTATGAGAGCAGACAGAAGTTTAAGCAAGTTTAAGCAAGTTTAAGTTTCAGCTGTTACTACAAAAAGGTTTTAAAAATACGAACTTACAAGTAGGCCTTGAGCTTATTGAATACAATTAATGGGAGCTAAGCTTTTCAAGCTTTTAATATGAAGTCTTGCAAAATATGGTTAAGCTTTCAGCCAAAGTAGGTTTAATGTGTTTTCAGATTGTAACTCAGATTTTTGGGGTATATAATCTCTTGTGAGCTTGCAAATCTTATCAATGTACCCAGAGCCCAAGAAGTGTGTAGTTAGCTAGTTAGACAACACAATTAATCTATCTTAAAACTTTAATCAGCTTTGAAAGCTTGCTTAGATGGAAGCAATGTAAAATCATGAGAATCTGTTAAGCTATTAAATATTATTATTTTCAAGATTAATCCAATATTTAAGCGGCATTCAACCTGCATAGCCTTAATATGGAAAATGGCAGACAGTGAAAACTCTATATTGTTGCCTTGGTAATTGGCTTAGACGTGAATTGCGAGGTTCTGCCACAAGCAGCATCCAAGTGCCTCCAAACAAGAGCAGCTATGTGAGAGAGTGTGAAGGAAAGGTGGTAGAGGGGTGTGTGTGTGTATGTGTGTGTATCTGTAGCGATGTTATCAAACAAATTGAAATCTTGCAAAATTCTTGTTCTCGAGCACTCGATGTTTGTCTTAAGTTGTGAGCTGAAGCTCTAGGCCAGAAACTATGCCAGTGTTGGTAAGGGTGCAAGGGCGTGCATGTGTGTAATTTATGTTGAGATACGCACAGCAATCGTGCTATGAAAATTGCAGCACTTGACTGTGCATTTGCATAGATTTGAGGGTTGCCAACTATACACAAAAGCAGGATTTTTATCTCCAGCAGAGGCACAACGCATTTTGTTAAATTGAATGCGTGTTGTGCCTGCGTGTGTGTGTGTGTGTGTGCAGGTACACACACAAGTGTGATGTGTGTGAAATTGTTGGCCCACAGGTGCGGTAATTGAATGAGTCCAGGCTGGAGCCATTTACATTCAATTAACAGTTGTGCGGCAACCACACCGGCATCTATCTAAGTATGCATGAGATAAAGATACAGATACATATACTCGCAGTCGCCTGTTATGACTCTGCCCCTTACATTAATATTCATCGGAATCAGATAATTAGGGCCTCATGAGCTGCTGCAGCACTCGATTCTAAGTAGCTGCCGATTAGAGAGCTCAAATGCATATTATTTTCATATAGATAACCAAATTATGGACGAGAATTAGCATTGTGATAAATAAAAGTCACATTTCTGTCAAGAGTCTAGAGTTGTCAAAGACAATTTCCATAACTTTATGCAAGCAACTTTGTAGATCTGAAATCAAATACTTTTTTGGCAAGATTTTAATTTATTTTAAAACTTAAATGATTTAACTTGAAGCAATTTCTTTTGGGATTAACTCAGAAGTAAGAAAACTGTCACTTTTTCAGTTGATTGAGATTGTTTTCAACTCAACTCAAAACCAAACCAAACCGATTGCCAGTCAATTTGCAAGCCTCAATCGATGAGCATCGACAACAAGTTAACTTGTTCTTCAGCTTTCGTTATTATTGGCTTTGGCTGGCAGAGATTTTAGCAGCTACTTAATCGTTGTAAACTTGATTTCAATGTGCAAACCGAAAGCAAGAGAGGCAAAAGCAACGAGACAGCGGGAACAACTAGGTGGAACATGAAGAAGAACAACATTGAGATTGTAAGCAAACAATGTAACCAAATTGTATCAACAAATAAACATAAACAAACGAAGGACCGCAACGAAGCAAGCCGGGTGCGGGTGAGTCTGGGCAGGGTTTGAAGTGTTGTAGCTGGGGCTTGCCGCGGGTCAAGTGGCAACAAAAGAAACCGTACACAGAATAAGTGGGCAACCGGAGCTGGAACAAGAAGCCGCAAGGAGCTCAAGGGGCTGCCCAAGCTGGATATGTGTAAATGTTAAGCAAGAAAGTGTTGCGTGATTTAGTTGAGCTACGTTTACTTTTATGGCTCCGACTGTGTGTGTGTGTGTGTGTGGGTGAGTGCGGGAGTGTGTGTTGATTGAATCGAGGCAAATAAGCAAACAAGAAATCAGCAGCAGCCACAACAACAGTTTGCGGACCCTTAGCTAAGCGAAAAGTGATAAGCGCATAAAAAGCGAGAGACGGTGCCAGCAGAATGGAACGTATCCAAAGGATACGCTCACATCCGGCACGGCAATTTCAAGTATTTGCCTAATATAAACAAAGCTGCTTCATTCAGCATTCCCCCGTCCCTCTGGCCATCGGACTGCCCAGAGATTGCCCGACTCGCAGCACAATTAAGTGCCTGAAGAAACTGTGTGAATCTGTCATTAAGTGGAGCTGCCAACCTGTGACATTTGACAAAGTGCCAAGTCAGATAGGTATTAAGTTATCTGCAACAATGCCCGAACTAGTCTTTGGCCTCCTTCACTCCGCCTCCAAGTCGATTTCCGAGTGGTTTTGCTTTTGACATGACAGTTTGTTTTGTTATCGTTATCAGACAGGTTGAGACCGATAAAATGCAAACA